TCTTAGATGCTGGGCTGATCTGATCTGCAGATCAGATCAGCCCAGCATCTAAGAAAACAGGGAGCTAACAGTCATTCTGGCTCCCTCTTATGGCCGATTGAGGAAAACAGCAACCAATCACATTTTACAGTATGATTTAAAGAAACAGGTATAGCATTGTTACATGATTTATATATTGCCAACCCAACCGTTAGATTATATTCCTAACAGTGTGTATGTGTGTGTATTGGGAGGGGAGGGGTGTTGTATGTATGTGGCATGCAACCTTTGAGCCTGAAATACGTTGCCTTCCCAGCAACACTGCCATGCTGGGGAGAGATTCTGCTCCACCTGCTAAATTGGCATTTCTCCACCTTGGCAGCTTGAAGTGGTATGGATTTCAACTCCCAGAATTCCCCAGCCAGCAGGGCTGTATATTATTATGTGGGAAGGAAATTAGGTGCCTTTTGACTTTCTGCAGCAGAGATGAAAAAATTGTTTTCCCCTCAAGGATTGGGATAATACAGGTAATCCTCAATTTATGACCACAAGTTAGTTAGTAACCATGTTACTAACTTAACAACTGCAAAGATTCACTTAACAACAGTGGCAAAAAAGCTAGTAAAATGGGGCAAGTCTCATTTAGCAAAAGGAATTCTGGGGTCTATTGTAAGTCAAGTACCACCTGTATTTAATATTTACCTATTTCAGTCGTTTTAGCATGATTTTAGAAATTGCAGATTGTATTTCCCAGCCCCGGTGAAATACTGCCGCTGAATGATAACATGGGGAATTTGAAGAATATTTTTCCGCCAGATGATTTTTAAGAAAAGAAAGTGCATATTGTATCAGATAAATAATTTTCTTAAGATAATGTGCCTGGAGGGGGGGGGGGAATCACACCTGAATATTGATTAATCTTTCCATGCTGCCTGCTAGTCTCTCTCTCTGTGTATTTATTTTGCAATAAATTCTCATTCTCATGGATCAAATTCTGTTAGAATAATTATCTGACAGATATCCATTCTCCACCATCCAGTCAGAGCTGAAGAAGCTTCTTGGTTGAAAAGCGAAACATCTACACAGAAAAAAAAAATCAGAAAGTCCAGTTGCCTCTTGAAAAAAGCATCTTTGGGACAACCATGACCTGGGTGACTGAGAATCTCCATAGACAATCTAATAGAAATTTTTTAGTTTAACTGATGTTCTTTTCCATCTGTTTTTGTTTTTTGGGGTGGGGTGGTGTTTTTTTTGGGTTTTTTTTGGCTGAAACAAATTTTATTTTGTCCCCACATTGTTTTGTTGTCGTTTTCTTATGCTTTAACCTGATGTAACTTCCTGATTCCTTGTTAGAAGAAGCCAAAAGCTGAGAAGAAAGAAAAGAAGGATCTTGAGATCATCACCTATGATATCCCCACCAAACCAGGAGAGAAAAAAGGTAAGTTATTGCAGGTAAAAAGGATTGGGGAGTTTGCCTTCACTCTTTGGGGAACCACCCTGAACCTAACCTGCATAGAAACACTTCTAGGACAGGGAGATTGCTGTAGAGGTGGACAATATTTAAATGCAATAGTGGTGAATATTTGTATCTCGGGTATAGGATGAGGGTGAAAGTTCGTTTTCCAAGGTTGTGGGTTGGTTTCCAGACCTTTCATTACCAGGCTAGGTAATATCTTTATTTTGTTTATTTATTTATTTGTTTTATCAAGCGTTTACAGGATAATAGATATAAGTATATACAAAATTATGAATACATGAAACGAATACGACTAAATGGGGTTATTAGGACAAGGACGGTAGGCATGTTGGTGCGCTTATGCATGCCCCCTTTACGGACCTCTTAGGAATGGGGTGAGGTCAGTGGTGGGATTCAGCCAGTTCGCACCCATTTGGGAGAACTGGTTGTTAACTTTCTAAGCAGTTCGGAGAACCGGTTGTTGGAAGAAATCTTATTTTGGTTTTTTCCCACTTTACAGGGCTAATCCTGTAAGGAAGGCAGGAAGGAAACATTCTGGTGCTGTTTCTAGCCTAATCTTTATTGCCCTGCTTACAGAAACTGCCTCTCCAGTTAACCCTTATTACATTGCTACAGCTAAGGCGAAGCGCCCATCAATGTGAGTGACATCAAGTTGCCATGCCCATTCAGTCACATGACCACCGAGCCATGCCTACCCAGCTGGTCATTAGGGCAGAGAA